GAAATGTGTACCTTTGGCAAAAGTGTCAGAATGCAATTGATGGGAAAGAAAGCAAACAAGGGCAAACTTGGCGCTGACTCTGTGTGTGTGTGTGTGTGTGTGTGTGTGTGTGTGTGTGTGTGAAGGAAGCATTATCGTGACTAGAGATGGGCAGAGCATTATTTTTAACAAGCAGTTCATTTTTAATATTCTCTTTAATAGTCCAGGGCTATAGTTTTAAAATGTCTTTGTCCAGAGCTTGGACATACAGTAATTAAAATGTTTAATTCTATAATAAATAATTACATAACCTCATTAGATTCAGAAATTCCCAGCAAATATATTTCCATTGTGTTATTTTGTAAACCCATTCTTAGAACGTTTATCTATACATTTAAGTAACAAGTTCCCTAAATCCAGGGGCATTTTAGTAAAGAGAGAAATCTAATTTAGTTTATGTTCCTAAACAGTTAATAAAGTTAAGAACTGCCTTCAATATGACTTGCGTTATACTTGGAATACTCAATAAATTGATCACTGTTATGTATATTATATTTGACGAGAGAGAAAAAGCTCCTTGCAAGAATCAGAGTAATGTATTCAATAGTTTGCAAACCCACAGTCCCAGAGAGACTAACACAAGTCCAAATGTGATCTCTCAATGCTGAACTCAGAATGGCTACTGCAAGTTAATTCAGAACCATACAGTGCTGCTTTTGATGTCAATTGCCTTAATGTGAGATCAGGAACGATTGCTGCATTATGATAGATCAAGGCTGCTTTCAAAAGTGATGCTTAGAGTGTCTTTTAGTTATTAACACTTTGAAGAAAATGTTAATATGGCTAATTCTGCATTTAACACAAGAAACAAGACATTTTTAATTTGAGTGACAGCCCCTAGAAACAGAGTTGTAAAATTTGTGAAGAGACATGGCTTTGAAGATGGGCATGATTAATTCCTGACTGTCCCAAGTAAAACCAGCACCAATTTAAGTACATATTGGGAAAGTCAAAGTTATAAGAGTAGCTTGTTTAGACCAAGGGGTTGTGGAAACCAAACAATTTTTCTGTTATCTTTTATTGTATCTGATTTTTTCATCCTTTCCTTTCTGAAGGATTCCAGAGCCAACCAGCAGGCATCAAATAGGTGATGGCCTTTGCCATCACACAAGGCAGGTAGGTATTCTTACGTTGATGAGGTGATCTGGAGTTTCAAATTATTTGACTGTCTGACTAAACACTAGCAGAGCTGATCACACCCCTTAGTTCAAGATGCAGGCACAGCTGGAATAGGTGGTCAGAGGGAGGAATTTGCAGAATAAGCGGTAGCTACATATGTAGGAAATTGGAATTCTGCAACATTTGGGGCTTAGTCTAGCAGTACTGAGTTTTACCTATTGGGTTAGATCCAATGTTAGTAATACTCAGAGTAGGCCTGTCAAAATGAACAGACTTAACTCAATTTATTTCCATGGATCTACTCTGAGTATGACTGACACTGGTTATCACCCACTGATTTGAATTTAACCAACTGAATATTCAACTGTAATATTTAGAATGTTTTAAACAGGATAACAGCAAACAAGATAAGAGTGTTACATGGCACATGACTTGAACATCAGTGGAAGAGCAAGTCAGAACAATGTAATGCGATCAATACTGAAGTAATATTTGAGCGGGCAAGATTATTTATCAGAACTACCCTTCTCCAGCCACTTATTTTTTTTTTTTTTTATAAAATTTTTATTGGTTTTAGAAACTTTTTAAGAAAAACAAACAAACACCAAAAAAGACAAACATACACGAATAGTTTCAAACATATTTTCATAAACCTCTTTCCTTTGACTTCCCCATACCCCCCCTCTCTGCATCCCAATGTCCATAATTCAACTAGCAACTCCCAATTATTACTTTCCAATCTCTGTCATCTTAGTCCTCTTTTATATTTCTAACCTTATATCCCTGTATCCCTTTGTTTCTGGAAACCACAACATTTTAGCATTCATTAAGTTTATAGTAGTCCTTAAGATAACTTTTAAATTTTCTCCATTCTTCTTCCACCGTCTCTTTTCGTTGGTCACGGATTCTGCCTGTCATCTCGGCCAATGTCATATAGTCCATCACTTTCATCTGCCATTCTTCCAGAGTGGGTAGATCTTGTGTCTTCCAATACTTTGCGATGAGTATTCTTGCTGCTGTTGTAGCGTACATAAAGAAAGTTCTATCCCTCTTTGTCACCAATTGGCCGACAATGCCCAAAAGAGAAAGGCCTCTGGTTTAGCCACTTAAAAGCTCCTCATAGGCTACTAACAAACATATATCACAGAAAGGTTAATTATTCTGCTCATTAATCTACAGTTTCTTTGGGGCCGTCAGAGAGAAAACCCTTTTCATCTAAAAACCTATTGCAGGGAGTGCCCACACAGGCTTTCTAGAAGTAGTCAAGGAGTTATCCATTCGTTTTGAGTAAGAGGCAAATATCTATACCAGTTCTGAGGAAAGACACTTTTCATAATCACCCAACTATCTGCTAAGTGAAAACATATGGCGCAGTTTAGGCAAAGCTTGCCAAAGGTCTTTATTGAATGGAAAACAGGTGCTCTTGTTGTCTGCCATGTAATACCCTATTTACCCCAAGTCCAAAGGTTACTGGACTAATAGTTGCCTTGTGGTAATCGGGGAAAACTAAGTTACTTGGCATGGTCAAACATCTGGGACATATTTTATATGCTTGCAACATATGCTTCAGCTTCAATTAAAGTGAGGCTTTGGCACATTTATTAATCTTTTGACTTTTATTCTATAAGGGGACCCACTGACCTCACTTTGCTATTTTACCAAATGAGAAAACAGAAAAGTAATGAGAGCTAGAGGTCAGCATCAATCAACACTGCAGAATTTACATTTGTTTTCTCTCAAAACTGTATTATACACACCGTTAAAATGTGTGAATTCACTCTTGTTGTGTATTATACACAATTATCCATGCAATACAAGTCTAGTTTAGGGTATGGAGGAGAACTAAAACTAATCCTTCTAAAATTCTGCAAATGTAAAGGTTCTCTTCTAAAAATACAGTGTCTAGTCTCTAGGAATGCTTTGCAAAATAATCCTGTGTACATTATTTGCATCAAACTATAGTGTTACATAAACCCAGACACTTATGAACATTATGTTGTGAATATTCAGTCTAAATGTTTTCCCATAAGAATAAATAGCACTGAATTCATATCTTCATGGCTTGAGTAGTTATATTCAAGAAGTATTTTGGAACCATTTTGTTGGGTTCAGACTGCCAAATACCATTCCAGATAGTATGCTATTTTTAGCTTAGTATGGTTTGCTTGTTAAGTAATTTACACAAGACAATAAAATACTTTTCTTGATTACTTAGTAACAAAAAGAATAGGTCAATTCCTTAATTACTAAGTAGCTAAGATTTATTTAAACAAAGGGAATATTATAAGTACTTATGTGAATACATTTTACAGGTGTTGCAGCTATTTCTATGGATACGAAAATTACTGGACATTCCCATATAATATGCTATAATTATAATGAAATATGAACAAGAGGAGGAAAATACTCACAAATGGATAGCAGACCTACGTTTATCAGAGGAGAAATGCTTTTGAGTTAATATACAAGCTCACTACATCTACATGGCTGACCTTCACAATAAATCACATATTCTGTTGCCAGACATATACATACTATGTAGTACTGAAAGAAAGCACACATGGCTTTGCACAAAGAAAATCTAGGTATGACGTTATTTCATGATTGCAGCTTGTAGCAAAATGATTTAAATGTGTACGGGGGGGGGGAATGCTATCTCTGTCTCTTGAATGTTAAGATAATAAGGAAATAGTCCAAATTTTCATCTTTCAAAACACAGACCTTAATTGTTCAAAGGGCTAACTAATCACAGTGAATTTTCTGACACTTGAAATGTTTAGTAGCTGCCAGCCTACGAATTCTTATAGCGGTGCAGAACTGTACATCTCTACTAGCAACAAAGGTCAAGGGCATAAATTAAGATACTTTTTCTTTCTTTCTCTAGCCTTAAAAAAAGCCAGTGCTTTATTACAACAGAAGTACAAGAACGTTTGTAAAGGTCAATGTTTTCTGTATTTAACGTTAAGTGCTTTAAAAGAATCTGAATACTTTTCTCTATAAATATCCTCATTTCAAAACTTAAAAAACAACAAAACATTTATCTTGCTGTACTTTTACTTCCCCACAAACCAGTCCTGCCAACTAATGCCATTGCTTCACTCTTACAAGGTCATTCTAATTTCCTCTCTGTGCCTCTTCCCTCCCCTCTAGGGACAACCATGCAGTCCTATTGCTTGCTTCAATAACCTGTATAAACTAGCTGTTATTTACTGTGGTGGCAAATCCTCGACCTGACCAGCAACCTAGGAACTGAGCAACATTCTCAAGAGCTAAAAGAGCTACCATAGTCCCTTAGGTTGATGCTGGGCTGCACAACACCAATCCCAAATCCATCTGTAAGAGGCCCATGAGAATTGTGATTATTTAAATATCATATGGAGTGAAACACGCACCAAACATTCTTCTGCCAAGTAATTCTCAGAAAATTATAGATGGCAATAGACCACCTTCAAACAGTGTGGCTTTTCTATTTTTACAACATTTCTTCCCACAAGTAAGTACAGCCCTATTTGTAATACTCAAGACAGGACAAATTTTTGTCCTTCAAAAACAGTTGTCACTGCAGTTATCTTCACAACAGCTATCAAGTTCCAGACAAGCTGAATTATTTTTGTTCCTGGTAGGAGAAGAAAAAAAATTGACCCAGCTCTGGACAAAAAAGGGAGGATTTATAGTCCTCTTTCCCTTCCTACAATATACACTGGCATTGTTAGGATGATAAACAGCTCTGTCCAATTTTCTGGACTAAAAACACTTCAGCTCCTTTTTAACTGTCTGCAAGAACAGTGTCATGTCTAAATTCTCCCATCCCCAGATACCCAAGTGCTAGGAAAGATAATTACCTTGTCATCTCTGTCATCCTCTTCTTCCTCGTCCTCTAGCATGTCCTCCACTACCTGCAGACACAAACAGTAGTTGTCATGAGTCAACAAGGTAGTGTTTTGTTCTGCCAAATCATTAAGCCTTCCGTGGTTGGAAATCTTTATTAAATATTTCCAAATAAATGCACAATAGGAAAATTTAACCTACAGATTCAAACTATGGTAATACTCTGAAAAGCTTTGTCCTGTATACAATCCCATCAAGATGGTGCCCTGATTTGAATGCTATGTTAAGAAAAAAGCATGGCTCATTATGAATGTGCACGCCGAGTCTGCATTCGTCACTTTGCTGCTCTTTGGCACTCAGCTAAGTCATAGTTTGGTTTAGCATGTCATCTGAACCCAGACTTGTGGTTTAGTTCTCCGGGACAAACCATTAGCAGTAACCTATATAGGATAAACCTTCGTTATGGCTCATGGTTAGAGCCAAAACTAGGATTTTGATGGCACACTAAGGCAAACTATGGCTTATGTTAGCACATCCCTAGAGCAAAGCAACCAGAAAGGAGTGAAGCAGCTGTGATCTCCTTTCCAGGACTCTCATAGCCCTGCCAAGCAATTGATCCTTGAATTGAAAGGAGATTTGCAATGACTGGGTGGAAACTAACTTATCATTGTAAAAAGCAAGCTGTACGACTGTATATATAGCAGACCAAAAACAAAGTAAAAGGTGGTCCCTGAAGGTAAAGAGTCCAAGGACAAGGACTCCTTAATTGAGTGCTAGAGCACTAAGATATACAAAAGGCACACATTGAGAAGCATAGAAATGGAACTGAAGAAACAGTAGATTTTTTTCAGCCACTGAAAGATTGCGACCTTCACCTAACAGGACACTATTTGCATGTTGACACTGTATTATTTATAGTATTACTGCAGTTACTAGACAGTTTGCAACCATATTTTGCATGATCACACTATGGCCATATGGCCATGACTGACGGTCTGTTGTGGCAACAAGCTGCAGTGAGCATCAGGCTCATTCACTCCCTTCTTCCCTCCCCCTGCTTATCCAGAAACTGCTGCATTTGGTTTTACTTAACTGTGCTTTGCCATACTATCAAGACGAACAAACTGCGGTTAAGATTAATATGGTTATTTCGAACAATCTTCGAACCATAGCTACTGGAAGCTACCATAGTAAAATTTTAGCACAATTCCAAGTCTGAACTAAGTAACATGCTGTGGTTGATCAAAAGGGGAAGTGAAAGAGCCCAAACACATCCTCCTGGCTGTAAGAAATGGGGAGATGAATGGAGGGCTGGGGAATGTGCAAACCAGAAATACTCTATGGCTTGTTTTATGACTTATCATGACTTCTGATATATATATTAACAGCCAATGTGTACCAAAAGCCTTTGCATGCTTAACTCTTGTAACACAGTTTAGATTTAAGGTAGGTGATCACAACACTCTCACCTGAACAATACAGTGTATGCAGGTGGCTAGGGTTATTTCTTTAATGTATTTTGCCTCAAAATTGTTTTGTTTTTATTGTTTTGGTTTCCAATTGAAATATTATGCACGGCATAATACTACTAACAATAACCGTATAAAATACCCTGGTTTCTTAAATTCTATGTGTAAGAAGGCTTTTAAAAAATATTCAAAGTAACTACTACCTCGGTATAAGATTCAGGAAAATCTGTACCATAGGTTGTTTCTACACATGAGATTAATCCTAGCCATTTTCTCAGAACAGATTATGAACAGGGCTATCTATGTGATTCGATGATAGAGAAGTTTGCCTATTAAGCTGACTAGTCTTTGTGAGTAGTTATCCCTATTAAATAGCGAGGGGGGGGAGGTGACTGCTAAGGCTTGTAAGAGAATGGATACACACAGTGTAGGCTAGAGAAGGGGCAGACGATGGAAAGAAGTATTTCCCCTTTTAGAAATAAATTGTGGCAATGAATAATATCCATCCCAAATTGGTCATTATTCGTGATGAGCAAACTCTCGTTGAAAATCTATTTGGTCTTTTTACCCTTTCCTTGATAATACTGCGGGGGTAGGTAACCTTGATCATTTCCTCCCAACTACTCTTGATGAAAGCTAAAAAAACTAAATGAAGCATGCCTGCCTCTATCCTATTAGTTTCTCTTTCCCAGCCATCTCTCCCTATATTGCTGAGAAGTGGAAGGGCATAAGTGGTGATGGGAAGGTCTTGCTAGAATCAGAAAATATATTTCTGGATTGTCCTTAATGGGAAATGGAATTCATGAACATGTCATGGAGAAAGTAAGGAAGAAGCCCTTCAGCAGCATGCAGTGAAATTTTCCATAGGGGAACAGTTCAGGCCAGAGGCATCGCATCTTCCTCTCTAAGCCAGACAGAAGCTTCCCAGGCTTTGGGAAGGAAGTGCCAGGGGAACATTTAGGGGACTAGCCTAGTCCCCCTAGTCCACTGACCACATGCTACTGAAGCATTTATATGCTAGGTTTCTATGTGAACTGCAGTTTGGAAGTCTATAGAGTTTTGTGAAGAACTTACACAAATACTTTTTAGAGACCATTATTTTTACTTGGTTTTTTTTTAAAGTTTCCCCCCCATCCCTTTCCTAGCAATGCTTTCCCACTAAACAGCAATACTTCCTTTTATCCTTATAAGTTGAAAAGAGCAGCACAGGAGGAGTGCCAAAAATATGAGTGTTAATGTAGCTTCTGCTACTGTTTGTGCTGGAGCAGGCCATCAATGTTTCATTTTCATTGTCGATTCAAAGGATCACCTGAAGGTGTTGTAGGAACCAAAGTGTGGTTCTCAGGGGTGAGAGAACAACACTCCCTCCATCCTCTGTCTTTGGTTCTATCTTTCTGTTCAAATAACTCATGTGTTATTGGGGGCAATGCAAGTAATGCAGCCGACTTGTTGGAGAGAAAGTTTATTCCACAGCATATAAATTTCAACTGCATTTATTCTGTAGTTATTTAGGATCATTTCAGCTTTGCTTTATAAGGCACTACTGTTCCTTCTCAGACCTTTGGATGGCATAGCATCTAAATAGTCGAAAAAAATATTATAGGGCAAACATTAAGGAAACAGTATTTTACTTAAGGTTTATGTAGGGGGAAATGCTTAACATTGCTTCAGAATCTGTGCTTTAAATTTTGCTGTCTGCAACCTTGCTTGAAATCCAGCATTATTAATCAAACAAAGGAAAGGCACCGGGGAAATCAGAAAGCTCTAATGCAAGCAGTTAAAAGTGACATGACCTTCTGTAATGTCACTTGTCACAGATGTATATGACACATAGCAGTGGAAGATATTGAAAGAACCTAATTCCTGGTGCTGATCCATGATTATTATACGAATATAGATGGCACTTAAGAGCACACATAAGATGGTCTCACATATTACACACGAGTTTCTTTATTGTGCTTACTGTTTAGCCATAAATTACACAATATGGCTCAAGAACCCTCTTCCCTTTCTGCTTTGCAAGGTATTTATTGACAAAAAAGCAAGACAGAATTATTTGTATGACAGCATTCAGACCATATATCATTTCCTCCTGCCAGAATGCAAGCATCATAGTATACACGTAACAAATGCAACAGAAATAGGCAGCAGACAACATGACACATAAGTTGCTTAGATGCCCATATCCATCCCAACATAGCAGATATAATTGCAATTGAAATATGCAGAATACATTGAAATCATGTAATTATATAGTTAGAAGCAGTGGTGACTGATGCCCACTGGAACAGGGAGGATGGAAGGCAGGGAACCCAACAGTGGGTGGAGCCAGTCCAATTGACAGGCAGAACCAATAAATTCTAGCTTTGTCCCCATCCTCATCTTCACTGTGTGAGAATAAGAGGGATGAAGCTCCCCACCCTGAAGTGTTTATAATGGCAAGTGTGAGCTGGCTGAAGGCAGACTGAAGTTGACGGGGCAGCACCCCATTTGCCTTAATAGACCAGCCTTCACTGGTTGGAAGGAGACAGAAGTTCATCCAGTTTATACTCAGTAAGATACATAGAGTGTTGAACCAACACCATTGGGTCTCTGAGTTATTTTCCTGAATCAGGTATTTGCAATTGAAGGATTTGTTCTTTACAGGTCACTGGTTACCCTCCTCAAGTTAAAAGGTTCCAGATGAGACTCAGGCCTTTGTCTGACCCCCCACCCATGTAGCCAAGATTTATTTATCTCACTTAAATATTTATAAATTGCACTTTCATACAGTTGCAATTGAAATTATTCAACTTCCATTGCAAATCAGGTTTATTATCAAAATTTACAGACTTTCAGCTGTTCGCAATGAGCAAATCAAACAAAAGCAATTGAAATAGCTTGACACAATGGATGCTTCAAGTGGTTTCCCCAAATACAACTGGAATTGCAGGTCTCAGGTTTTAAAGATCTCAGGTTTTAAGGGCCTGCTTGATTAACACAGTTTTTTCTTTTTCTTTTAAAGATGTCTAAAATGATTGGGAATGATTCCTGCCAAACCTCTATCAAGAAGGGGTTTCACAAGGCAGGGCCCACCACACTAAAGGTCTGGTCAGCCAAACCTCAGGGGCAGGTGGGACCTGGTGCTTCACAGTCATCCCTCTCCCTTGGCTGCCTTCTAGGTTTGTGCTAACTTCAATTCCCTACCGCCCTGAATATACTCTAGTTTTGGCTCCATTGAATTCTGGCTTTATGTTTCCTTTGAACTGCTATGGCAATCAAACTGGTCTTGTTGGCCCTCAACGCAATACTTCCAATGGTGTTTCTCTGGGTGTTTCATCTTCTGTGTCATGCAAAGACACATTGGGGAGCTTGATATCCTGATCAAAAGGAAGGAAAACAAAACCAACCAAGTAGACCTGCCACAGATCAGCCTCTGCAAACCAGACCGCAGCATGCTAGACTAGAAGCAGAAAGCAGCAAAGCTCCCTGCAGAACGAACAGCCCCAAATGGTTCAAGCAACAGAGCTGACCTACACACAAACAAACAAACAAACAAACACCCCAAGGACACAGTTGACTTTAAATTCTGGAGCTGACATAACTCCAATTGCAATGTA